CGACCAATCCAAACAACTCCTTCGAGAAGCACCCAAACTCAAAGACCCGTTTCTTTCAATGAACATTTTCGAAGGACTAACTCTCCCTCCAGGAGCAGCCCGTCCCCCCCTGGGGCACCATGTATCCGAAGTTATAAAGCAGGTTGAAGTACAAGCAGCCATTCCGGACTAAAATCCAAAAGATATCAACTTTAAAGAAATACAATAATAATGTTTATGCGGAAGAATCCTTGTATTTCAAAATTTTGCCTCTCCAAGCTTCTTCCCGTCGGCACCTGAATATTGGGAAAGAGTGGAATCACAATCACTCAGAGTAATAACTAATTAGTGACCAGTTTCAAGATAATATTGAAACCCCAGACTTAGAGAGATATGTAAACCTAGAACATTTATTCGCATAAGAGTAGAAAAGGAGTGAGAAAGTGGCACCTGGGAATTAAGAGAGGGGGATTTTGAGAACGCCTTGAGCTAGTGTGGGAGTTGGGGACACTGGAGAGCAGCAAGCGATTTTTGTCTTCAGCACAAGGCTGTGCGTGCTTTGGCAGGTAACCGGTCACCGGTGTAGTTTTTACTTGGACAGTAATTCGTCCCAGATCAGACCAGACCAGAACAAAACAGACCAGACCACATTAGACTAGACCAGACTAAAACAGACCAGACCAGACAAGACCAGACCATATTTTTTATTTATTATTATTATTATTATTATTATTATTATTATTATTATTATTATTATTATTATTATTATTATTATTAGGGGTGTGCATCGGTTCAGAACCGGACCGTACCGAACCGGACCGGATATCATTCCGGTTCGATCCGGTTCCGGTTTTTCTGGTCCAGTTCGGTCCGGTTTTCCGGTTTAAGCCGGATAGTGCACACCCCTAATTATTATTATTATTATTATTATTATTATTATTATTATTATTATTATTATTATTATTATTATTAGGGGTGTGCACCGGTTCAAAACCAGACCGGACCGGACCGAACCGGATATCATTCCGTTTCGATCCGGTTCCGGTTTTTCCGATCCGGTTCGGTCTGGTTTTCCGGTTTAAACCGGATAGTGCACACCCCTAATTATTATTATTATTATTATTGTTATTATTATTATTATTAGGATGTTTTTACTTGGACTGTAATTTGCTTGTCTGGTCTGGTCTGTTTTGGTCTGGTCTGGTCTGGTCTGGTCTGGTCTGTTTTAATCTGGTCTGGTCTTATCTGGGACGAATTACAATCCAAGTAAAAACAACCTTTTTTATCATCAAATCCAACTAATATATTAAATCAAAATAGCGTTCGTCACATGGCTGATAATACAATCAAGGGAAAAAGAGTAAACAAAACGATAAAAAGCCTTATATCTGCCGACCGCCCTCGAACCAGATTGAGAATCTATCACCTCCGTAGAAGCAATAACATTCGTTGATCCTATAATGGGCATAACTGAACCAATGACTGACAAACCAGACTTCTCATCACCTAATCTAAATTTAAGAATTTCTATACTAGGAAAAAAGAACACGACCAAAACAACATGCAATTCGACCGAAAAACAAAAACTGAATAAAACGCAATTAAAATAGAGTCCACTCATCTTCTCTCAACCCTAGATTTTCTTGCACTCCATGGCGGCGGCTCGGGAGGGGGGGGGGGGGGCGCTCATCCGCCACACCCTCAACATCAGCTTCATCTAGATCCAGTTCTTCTTCCTCTACTCCAATCGTCATCTTCTTGTACAGTCCTCTACAATTCCACGATAAGATGCTCATTGACTCTTCCCTACCAAATCCTCCATGTGATCTCCTCCTAGAGCCAATAACAAAGACCTTCTCGGCGCCATACTCGCCTGAGCGAAGCACCGTCGGACAACCAAGCTAGGCGCTGCCTAAGGCGGCAACCCTAGAGAGAGAAAACTTTTTACACCTAGTTGAAACTTCTAAAGCAATTTAATTGTTCCAATTATTAAAAACAGTAAAAACAACCTTATTGTTGTCGTTGTTGTTATTGTTGTTGTTATTATTATTATTATTATTATTATCATTATAATTATTATTTTTATAGTTATTGTTATTGTTATTTGTAATTATAAATGAATAAAATAAAACTATTTATGACTTGTGATATATATAAAATAAAATCTTTATGCAAAAAATATAAAAAATAAAATTTCAGACCAGGCCAGACCAAAACAGACTAGACTAGACCAGATCAGACCAGATCAGGCCAGCAAATTACAGTCCAAGTAAAAACATCCTAAAACAAGGGTTCTATAACTCATCACCGTAGATAAATAATTGCTACACCAAATTTTTAAATAATCTCAATAATTTCAATAATAATGCCCCATATACTACATAGATATGGTATTATTAAGATGATTGATCACATGACAGCATTAAATAGTTAATTACATTTTCAAATATTTATGCATTCAAAAGTATTAGCGATTTTAATCTTCGATCTAACGATGACAGATCCTATTTAGTCTAGACATTCTTTACTAGCGGGATTTTGTCAACTATTATAATCGTTAGATAAACTATTTTCTCTTTATGTGACAACTATTCTCTTCTCTGAGTTCACTTCTATGAGTTTTAAATTCTTCAACCGCTTCTCGATACACGTCAATTAATAAAATAATCATTTATTAAGAGTGACAATGACGGTGTTGATCACATGCTAGCATCATAAAAGGCATTCCCCTTTTCACCGCTAAAGTATGCCAGAAGAAGCGAACAGGTTGACTTTCATGAAAAAAATTTTGGTTTCACTAGTAGGGATGCAGATAGTTGTATTAGAATCAGTATCATCGAGAGTTCTCGATGTCTCTCCCGGACTTAAAAGGTGGCCAACAAGACTTCCTCCCCGGATTGTGTCATCCTGCTCTTTCTAGGAAGCTCTAGACTCTGACGGGGAGTTTTGAAAACTTTTGGAGGCTCGTGACAATTGCAATGAGCTGATTAAGAAAAAGATTAATGTGGTAAGGAATTCAGGAGTGTTCAAAATGATTTTTGCATGAAATAGAGAATCGCCAAATAACAATTGAGTAGGCTTTGCCATGGTTCAGTAGAGTGTTGAAGAAGATAGATCAATTATAATCAATCTTTTCTTTGTGTTTTAAATACTTGTTCATTAATCTTTTCTGACCACTTATCAATTAATAAATTAATCTTTCATGAAAAGTGGTGATGTCGGTTTCCGACAACTAGGGCGGCCCTAGCGGTAGGAGGGGTGAGGGCCCAAAAAAAATGAACAAAAGTCAGACACATTAATTTTCTTTTATGGTTGTTCCATAAAGGTGTAATCTCCCACCCCAGGAGCCCCCCGACCCGACAGGATGGTGAGGAGGTTAGTCACGGTGACTCAGTCAGGAGAATGGCAGTAGGCCCATACACCCGTGCGCACCAGAGGCCCAGCCTTATTTCAGAATCTGTGACCTCCACCCGGTCGCTGCGGGGATTCGAACCTTGGTCCATTGTTCCAAATCTCCCACCACTCGACCAACTGAGCTACCCGTGCGGGTTTAATTTTCTTTTATGATTCTGTGAGTATGTTGAATTTTGAACCCTCGTTTAATAGGTTATCCGGCCCAACAGCTCAAGAAATAAAAAACAACATGATGGAACCTAAAACACATCAACTAATAGGGTCCAAGGAGTATTTGATAAATCATGTGGAGTAATTAGCCCAAATATGAGTAAAATTAAAGTGAATTTAAAAATAGGACTTTTATTTTGTTCCTCAAAGAGGACCAACCTACTTCTATTTTGAAACATATGAAAATTAGTATCCATTTTTTGTCCCTATACTTATTTACCATTCTCTCTCACATTCTCTGTGCACAAAAATCCATCGACACTTTCTCCATATGCGGCCAAAAGATTCACCTCAACCGCAACTTGTTTCTCCCAGACAGATTTTCCGATTTCACCGCAAGCCACCTTCACCGCCTCCGCCTTTCACGATCGTCGTCTTTATTTTCCTCAGAATTTGAGGTTCTCATTATCCTTCCCCTTCTCCCTCTGCTTCTTTCTCATTCATCCTTAAATGCAAACATATTGAATTCTACATTATTTACATGTTTTACTTTAATAACGTTTTATTTATTATTATTTTTTATAAAAAATAGTATCACATTTGTGTCATTATAAATTTTCAAAATCTGATTTTTTAACTAATAAAGAATAGTATATTAATGATTAAAGTTGTACGTACTATCATATACTTCATTTTTACTAATAGAGATAGTACTCCCCCCGTCCCAAAATTATCTTCATTTTTTCCATTTTGGTTCATCCCAAATTTATTCTTTTTCCCTTTTTGGTAAAAAATATGTGGTTCACAACCATTCTTACACATTTCTCTCTCATTTACACAACTCTACACTACACAGATCACACTATCTTAATATGTGTACCCGATCAAAAAAGAAGTTTTTATTCGGAAGGAGGGAGTATCATATACTCCCTCCGGTCCCAAAACAAATTCACTCACGGTTTACGATGCTTTATTGACCATAAAGCAACTCGATCCTTGTTCACGTTCAGATTATTTTCAGTAAATAAAATTTACATATTCAGAAATTACATTAAAACCGCTACAAAGTCTGATCAAGAAAATTTAAATTTTATAAAAATTTGATATATCTAGTAAAAGAATAAGAAAGATTTAAGTTGACCAATGAATAGTAAGTGTGAATTTGTTTTGGGACAGCAGGAAGTAATGAAATACGAGTAACAAAAAGATTTCATTTTTTTAATAAAAAAGGTTTTCAGGGGAAATAAGACTCGTGCAGACCTTCACTCTCCGGCTTAACCTGGAATTCGCCGAACAGAGGAGCAGAGCAGCCGACCATCCAAGCACTACAGGAGCTGTCGAGCAAAGGAGAGACTGGAGAGGGCGGATAGAAGCAGCCGGGTAGTCTTCTGGTGCGCTGCCCCGTCTGCACCGCCGCACCGGCACTCCGCCAGCGATTTTGTGGACGGTGGACCTTCTGGCTTCCGTGGACTTATAATTCTGGTACTCCTCTAATTATTATAGTGACTAGTTCACAATCCATACAAGCATACTAATACAATCATACAATCATACTTCATAGAAGTTGAATGTTGATCAATTTTTACTTTATTTTTATCTGTTGCTTACTTGATTTGTTCTTTCCTTGTTGACGTTGATATCAGTTGATTAATTGGTTTATCGATAAATTAATATGTGTAGCTATTTAGTTGATTTTTTATCTTGGCTTGTTGGTTGTTGCAGTTCTGCCTCTGCTAAATTCAGCTATTAGTTGACTAGCTCATAGTCATCGGTTGATTTGTATCAAGTGATTAGTGGTTTATATGTTATCTAGGTAAATTTGGATTTTGTGTTAGTGTTATAATTTGTTCAGAAAAATATAATTAAAGTTTAATTAATATCCAAAATGTCATAAAAATTGTAGAATCTGAATGAGAGAAGGAAATAAAAGAGGAGAACATTAGAGAAAGTGGCCCTAAGTCAAAGGGATTCAATGGTAAAGTTTGTCTGTTTGAAGAAGTCACATCCCGAATACCCTCCTTTGAATGAAAATGATAAGTCGCAGGAAAAGACTGACTTTGTTGCCAAAAATCTAACATATCCAAGTCTTTTTTATTATAGAGGTCTTGAAATATGTTTAATATGCATGTTGGTTTATACAATTTGTATTTTTCAAGATTAAACCCTTTATGACTTACCCTCCCCTAGGCCTTGAAATGGACATGACCGGCCCTGCTAACCATACACTAGCTTCCTACAAAGCCCCCCCCCCCCCCCCCCCCCCCCCCGCTAAAACATGGCATATACACAATCATGTAACTTACTATGAGAATAGGCCCATGAGTGAGTAGGTTATAAGTAAGAAATAGTAAATTCAGACTTGTATTTTTATTTTAAAAAATAGACCTATAGTCCTGTACTCCTATGATGGGAACTACATGATCTTACTATTTTCATCTTAGACCCACATTCATTTTGGATTTGATATGTAACCTCTGAATTCAAGTCTTAAGAACTAAAATTATTGTGTTTTATTGATTCAAACCCACATTCGACCAACGTAGCCACAAAACATAAAGGGAAACATCTTTTAAAGTTGTCAAAGAAATTGTATTCAATCATAACTTTACAACATATTTATTTTAAAACCATTTAATGTATAAAAACTGTATAGAATAAAAAACATAGAACATTGCACGTATGTTCTAAACTTCTAATTAGTGAAGTAGGTTGTCATACACACTAGCGCAAACAATTTCTTACTCAAATGTAACTATTTAAAGTTCAAAAATCCAATTCAATATTTTGAAACGTAAAATAGTTATATTATTTTTGTATAAGAAAATCAAATATTATTATTCGTGTAAACTTTTTTGCCATAAATCTAAGTAATAACTTTAAAAGTTAACAATTTAACATTTTAATAACTACTACGTATAATATGAATAATAGAAATATATTTGTAAAAATCTCCATGTACTACCAAATCAGTGCAAATTCGATTATACTTGATTTACAATAATAATTAGATCAGATCAAATAAGTAGAATCTCTGAAATCCACATGTGTTTTCATATTATAAAAGTTCAAAACTTGCCTGTGATAACATTACTCCATATTTTAAATCAGCTTGACCACAGATTCCAAAAACAATGGCTAAACATGTGATTCCCTCCAAGTTCCTCAGCAGCCACGCCGCTGTAAGCCGTAAATTCTTCTGCTCCTGTGCACTACCTTCCCCTAGCGCCATTCATGATCCACCCGAAACTGCAAGCAAAAACCTCCAAGAAGAGTTGCGGAAGCTCCGAATCCTTCTGCAGCAGAATCGATGCGTCAGTGCAAAGAATATCCTAGTCAATCTTGCGCACTCAAACTCTGTCTCCGAGCTTTACAATGTCTTCTGTGTCCCTGTAGCCGCATCTACGAAGCCCCTTTTTGCTGACATGCTTTTCTCCATTTATGCCGACTCCAAGCTACTTGATAAAGCAAGTGAGCTGTATTCATTGATGAGAAAAGAAGGTAAGTTCCCTTCTTTATCTGATCTTAATGCGTTTCTTGAAATGCTGACCAATTCGAGACAGTACGAGAAGGTCCTCGAAGTGTTTTCGGATGTGGTTAAAGCAGATATGCAGGTTGATAGTTGCAGCTGTAATGTAGCTATACAATCAGCCGTGAAGCTAGGGGACTTGCGACGGGCACTTCATGTGATGGATTTAATGAGAAAGTCTGGGTTGCGAATGGATTCTTTTGTGTACAATGTGGTCATGGGGGGCTTTTGTAAAGAGAGAAGGGTTAGCGAAGCACGGAAGCTGTTTGATGAGATGCTCCTAAGAAGAGTGACACCTACTAAGGTGACTTTTAACATTCTTATTGATGGGTACTGTAAAGTGGGGAACTTAAAAGAGGCTTTTAATGTGAGGGAAAAGATGAAGAATGAAAATGTAAAGCCAAATCTGATCACTTTTAACACTTTGCTAAATGGGCTTTGTAAGACAGGGAGAATGAAGGAAGCTAACATGGTGTTGGAAGAAATGAAGACTTATGGATTTGTTCCAGATGGATATACATACAGTGTACTCTTTGATGGCCACTCAAGGTGTGCTGATGTTGATTCATCTTTGGCTTTGTTTGAAGATTTGGTGAAGCAGGGGGTTACAATGAATGAGTATACTATCAGCATTTTGTTGAATGTGTTGTGCAAGAATGGGAAGATGGATAAGGCTGAGCAGATTCTCAAGCTGTTGATGCAAAGTAGACATACCCTTACAGAGGTGATATTTAACATAATTGTCAATGGCTATTGCAAGGAAGGCAATATGGAGCAGGCGGTTTCAACTATTGAAGCAATGGAGAGTTGTGGATTGAAGCCAAGTTGTGCAACATTTAACACATTAATCGGTGCGTTATGTAAATCTGGAAAGATGGAAGAGGCAGAGGGATTGCTTAGAAAGATGGATGAGAAGCAAGTTTCTCCAACTGTGCAGACATACAACATCTTAATAAATGGTTACGGTTGTAGTCATCAGTTTGATAGGTGCTTCGAGATTCTTGAGGAAATGGAAAGCAGTGGACTGATGCCCAATGTTATAACATATGGTTCATTAATAAACTGTTTGTGCAAGGATGGTAGGCTTCCTGAGGCGGAAGTGGTTGTGAATGATATGCTTGTTAGAGGGGTTAAGCCCAATGTCCAAATACATAATATGGTTATAGATGGTCACTGTACCCGCGGAAAAATGGAAGATGCTTTTCGGGTCTTGGACAAGATGGTCGGGAATGACACTGCACCCACAATTGTAACATACAATTCGTTAATACATGGCTTATGTAGAAATGGAAGGGTTAGGGATGCCGAGGAATTAATCCTAGAGATTCCAAAAAGAGGTCTAAAGCCTGATGTTATTACATATAATTCTTTGATCTCTGGCTACTCACATGAAGGGGACACTGCCAAGTGTTTTGAATGGTATGAGCAGTTGAAAGCAGCTGGTGTTAAACCAACCGTAAACACTTATCATCCCCTAATTAGTGCTTGCAAAAAGGAAGAGAGTGGACTGACTCTAGTTGACAAAATTGTGCAAGAAATGGTTATAATGAACCTGTCTCCTGATAGAGTTGTATATAATGAGCTAATTAATTGTTATGCATTTCATGGAGAGGTTGGAAAATCATTTGCGCTGTTTAGTAAAATGGAACAACAAGGAATTATTGCTGACAAGATAACCTGTAATAGCTTGATTATGGGCCACTTGATGAAGGGAGAGAGTTTAGAAGCACAGAACATGTTTGATTGCATGAAGGCTAAAGGAGTTGTTCCTAATTCTGACACTTATAACACCCTGGTTAGTGGACACTGCAAGCTAAAGGACTTCAATGGAGCACTCATTTGGTACAGAGAAATGTTTGAGAAAGGGTTTTTACCAGCTATCACTACCTGCAATGAGCTTATTTCTGGCCTTAAGGCTGAAGGAAAATTTGAGGAAGCCAAGATAATATGCTCAGAAATGAGTGCTAAAGGATTAGTTGGATGAGTTAAGCTCAAATGAGGATCTCTTGCGTATATACTTGTTGGTAAGAACCTTACATTGTAACCTTATTATAACTTGATACTTTGCGTAGATATGCTTTTTTGGGTCATCAATCATATTGGTTCATCTGAAGTATTGGCTACTTTTGACAACTTCATTCCCCTCCCACATAGTTTATATTTATCAAAACATACTCTACTGGACATATTTATTATTTACAACACTTTTTTGTTTTGGTAAGTTATTCATTCATAAATACATAATTATATTTACTTTTTTGACTTATCTCCCCATTTAACCTTTCAGCTCTTTTCTCCTACTTTTTACATTGTTCTACTGTATTTACTACTCTTAGGGCCTGTTTGGATGGAGATGGAGTGTTGGGAGGTGTTAGTAATGGAAGGGCTAGTAAGTGTTAGCAGCGGCCCGGAAGGGAAGCTAAGTGTGAGAAGGCGAACTGGACACCTGCGACCCGGTAGAAACGCGATGATGATCGATGAAGAATGGCTAGTGTCAACGAACGGTGAGAAGCTGTTTGCGATGGCGAACTGGAAACTGCGGCTAGAGACCGAGAAGAGACCTGCGAACTCAGAGAAACGGCTTGCGACGAAGAATGCGAACAAGGAGACTCGGCTAGCGATTTTGCAGAATTCGTACAGCGTCGCACTGTCCTGGCTCGTCCTCGCGATCGGTGCTGTTTCTGGTTCACTACCAAATTCCGCAGCTTATCCATCTTAGCATCCATCCAAAGGTCCAGATTCTCCATTTTCGTTTAATCGTTTCCATCATCTGTTCTAAGCTCAGCATCTTGTTCCACATCTCTTCTACTACCGTGCGCAGATCCTGAACACTATTTTCCACTGATTCAATCCTGTGCTCCACCCGAGCTCTCGTCCAGGTCATTCACTGGTATTCTAGGATGTTGCTCTGATACCTATGATAGGAACCAGACAATTCGTGTATATTAAGTAAAGAATTCAGAGAAATCAAAGAATTCCTGAAGCACTTGTAATGGCAGAAACCGTAGCTAGCGTACATGAAATATTGTGACCGAACTGTGGAATATGTAAGTCCTAGATCTTCTCTCGTTCTACATACTACGTATATATGAAAACTTTGGCAAGGATTTACTAGTATTTTAGCTTTTTATCTTTTGTGCGTGTAGTGTTTTCTTCTAATGATAATTGGTGTTCTAACTTCTAAGGGGTTTTCAATGAAAAGTTTTCTCTCATTTCTTCACTTGAGGGGCAGGAGTCTTTCTTTTTTAAAACCTCCTTCAATATATAGTACCTTAGCAATGTCAAATGAGTAAATTTTTACCCGGTAAAGTTCCACTAGAGATTGTGAAAGGGGCCATGCTCACTCTAGTCTAGCAGATTTTATTTATAAAAGAAAAGAAGTTAGATGCCTGGATAATTTCCGGATCATGTTTCTGTGTAATATCCTTCAAGTTAACTTGATCTAATGTCATAGCTGAAGTACTGAACCTCTTTTAAGAGATAATAATTGCTTAGATTTCTGGAATATTTCAGTATTGATATCATCAATCTCAGAGAACCTAGTCTGTTAGAATAATCAACCCTTTTAATAGTTGGTTTTGTCACTTGATGAAGTTCCAACGATTCTTTTTGCTGCTTTTGTGTCCCCTATTTTGATTTGTGTTCACTAGTTGCAGATTTGCAATTAATATCAAGGTGACCGACCTTGTTTGAGGATTTAGAGCCATTTCGTGGGATCCTTGGGTACTCGATTGTTTTGATAAAAGCTGCTATAATTTTTTTTGCATGTGTTTGTGATGTACCAATGATGGCAATGAATAATCTGTGTATTAGTGGTTTCATTAGGTCCATTTCTACTCTAACCCTTTCCACCTGGGGTTTGGTTTAGTAAGTGTAGCTTGGTCACCCCCCCCCCCCCCCCCCCTCCCCTCCCCTCCCCTCAGGGCTTTCCTAAGAGAGATACATGCAAGAGTTGAAGCCTTCATTCTAAAATAGTGGACGGGAAGACCGTAGAGTATAATCTACATAGGTTCAAGACAAGTGTCGCTTTGTGTTGAAATCATGTGTCCATTTGAAAAACCTCATAGGATTAGCCCCACTAAATAATATTTTCCCTTTTAGCAGAATATTAGTACTAAAGCTTCATTAAATAGTATTTACCCTTATAGGAGAATATCAGTAAAATCCTATGCATTTTAAAAAGTCAGGAAAGCGTGCCTGGGTACTATCTATCTATATACAAAAGGAAGGGAAAATTAGCTATTTTTCCCGCCCAAAAATGTCACTATCATGGGTCAAAGATGGGTCCTAGGTGTATTGAGTTGGAATTGTACAACAACAATACTTGATGACCCACTCTTATACTCACCTTATATCCACCATGTTTGTAAAGTAAAATATTGTCTGTGAATCGATGTTCACAGATAAAGAGAAACCTTTCACAAACATGGGTGAGTACAAAAGTGGGTATAAGAGTGAGTACGAACATCATTTTTTATTCTACAATTGGTTGAATTGAAGTGAAAAATTTGAATTGGGGTTCACTTTATGGGTCCCAAGGTCATTGGAATAATACATTTTCTAGCTCCAAGTACATTAAGAGCCCGTTTGGTAGCACGAAAATCGGCTGTTTTGGCTGATTCTGCTGAAATTTATGAAGTTCTGGCTGAAGTGGCTGTTTTGGCTGATTCTGCTGATTCAAGAAAAAAATATTATAAAAATATATTTTATTAATAAATTAAAGAAAAAATTACATGTAAAAATAGCTAAAATGGTCCTCAGCAGTAACTTCAGCCAATACAGCCAGAAAAGTAACTCCAACCTTACTTTTTCTGCTTATTACACAATTCAGCACACAAAAGTAAAAGTTACGTGTTTGGTGAAAAAGCTGGCTGATAAGCCCGATAAGCCGAAAAAAGAGGTCTCCAAACGGGCTCTAATTTGCCCATAATAGACACACGTACTATTTGGGTTCAGTAGATCACAATGAAGCATGAATGTGAAGAAAAAAATCTTTTTTATTTTTTAAAGTTTTATAAGCTTTTTATTTTTATTTCATTATTCACAAAAAAAAATATCAAAATTTATAACTTTTTATTATCTTTCATATGACATCAATATTGCACATATAAAATTTTAAAAAAAATATGAAGTTTCAATTGTCCGATCTTTTAGGCCCAATTTTTTCCGTAAGAAACTGAAGTACTAAATTTAAGATTTCATGATTAAAATAGTTATCTATCTATAAACAAAAGCAGGAGAAATTTGGTCCATTTTTCCCGTCCAAAAATGTCACAATTAATAATAAAAGTGGGTCCAATCAAGAGCCTTCATTTTTTGACCGAACAAGGCGTGCATACGATTAAGATCATTTTTTAATGATAAAAAAGAGGAGGATATGATTCATGTTGTGAGGGAGTGTTTCAAGAATATTCAGAGATTCAGATAGTAGAAAACGACAACCTAACTTAAAGTTGGGTAAAATTACAATTTAAATTAAAGAAATTGCCCTAAATAGGAGTAAATGAGATTTGGAATTCCAAAATAGGATTACTATGTTTTTCTTCCCGAAATAGGAGTTGTTACTGCCATGTATGAAAAATACTGCTATGATTGAAAAATACTGCCATTAATTATAATAAATACTGTCATGTTAAACACACTGCACTATAACTATTTGATAGTCAAGTCTACAAGATGATAGTAAATACTACCATATTAGTCCTATTTTGGTAATAAAAACACAGTAGTCCTATTTTGGAATTCCAAACTCCATTTACTCATATTTTGGGAAATCTCCCTTTAAATTATTGAGATTATTGAAAATTCGATAGATCAGTCATAGTGTCATACCATGTAAATTTGAAAATTTTAAAAAGATACCGTTAAACGGTTAAAATATTGTATGAAATAGATTTAAAAAAAATTATTCAGATTTTTACTTATCATTCAAAAAATTATAACCCAAGTAATTTGCCAACAATTATGATTACTGAAAATTCAAATGAATTGAAATGGACGTATTAAATATTTAAACTGTGAAAATGATTTACCTAAAAAATAGGATATTTGTATTTAATTGGTTTTCGTGTCAGAACAAAATAGACAAGATCAGGTCAAATCAGTACAGATCAGGTCAGTACAGATCAAACCAATGACTACAAACCAAACTATATCAAATTACACTTGTTCAGACAATAATTTTAGTCTAATTAAAAACATCCTTATTTTGACATTATAGTGTGTGGATAACATAAAAATGAAGCAAAGCGTAAAAACGTTTCAAAACGTGAAAATCAATGTCCTTTATGTTTGTTTGTTTCTCCCTCCATTCTATTAAACTTGATCAAATTTCATTACCAAGACATTCAAAAACAATTTTTTCCTTTACCTTTAAATTAAAAATATTGTGGTTACAAAACCAAGAATAAATTTATGTTTTAATATTGTAACTTTTGAATAGTATCCGACAACAATTAAACTTGCAATATTGTATGACGTAGGAGGCTACTTTTTTTATAAATAACCTTTATCGTAGTCATATGCATGTAATTATTTCTATATTTTTTGTGTTGAAATAATTACGCAATATAGCGCAAAACACGGGATGATAAAGTATTTTTTATTATATACTAAAACAATTTGGAGGTGACCAAAACATTTTACACTATCATATGAAAACAAATAAAACTTGAGGGGGGCAAAAAAAAATACAAAGTAAAAACGCATAAAAATATAAAGTTGGGAGGGTCGTAAGCATATGCATGCCTCCGCCCCCTGGGGTTAGGGAGATGAGATTGGGGCTAGGGAGATGGGGCCGACGGGCTGGGGAGGGACATGGGGTTGGGGAGGGGGGCTTGAGGGTTGGGGATGTGGTTGGGGGTTAACCATGGGGGCAAAGGAGGGTCTTTGTGTGGGTTGGGGGCTGATGCGTGGTGGTGCCGAACGGGAAGGGGGATGAGGTGACGTAGGGGAGGGGGTTGGGTGAGGCAAGGGGTTGGGTGAGGTAGGAGACGGGGCTGTGTGAGGTAGAGGTTGGGGTGGCGTACGGGAGGGGCTGGGTGAGGCAGGGAGATGGGATGTGGTGTTGACGGTGGTGGTCGCCGCCGCCGGTCTCCCGCGGTGGTGGTCGTCGTCGTCGCCGGTCTCCTGCGGTGGTGGCAGGAGGTGGTAGTCGCAGTCGGCAGTGGCCGAGGGTGGTGGTCTGTAAATGATCGGAATTTATGTCACTGACGGGTGTTGGTTGGGTGTGAATGTAATCACCTTAGAATTGATCACTGGGCGGAATTCACTGTGTCAATTGGTTATTGAGCGGGAGTCACTGGGTCAATTGGTCATTGGACGAAAGTCACTGGGTTTTTTGGTCAATAAGCGTAAGTCACTGAAGGTTTGATCACTGTAGTGGATCGGTTGGGTTAGTAAGGGTGAAATAGTCCATTTACTCTTTTTAGTCACATTTTCATAATTTTTTTAAAAAATATCACTTTTTTGTCCATTCTCTATTTTTAGTACGGAGTAATATTTATGACAAAACCACATTCCTGAGTATGCATGTATTACTTTTAAAAAACTGAGGGTCTGTTTACTAACAGAGATATTTTTTAGTTTTTCAGAAAACTGGAAAATTGGAAAACACATGACAGAAAACATGTTTACCAAAAAAAATTCTGGAAAATAGGAGAAAGAAAAACAGAAAATTGCGTTTACCAAATAGTTTTCCAAAACCTAAAAAATGAGATGTGTTTGTTTTACTTAAAGAATTGGAGAAGTGACTTTTACTAGATTTCGAAATTTAGAAAATGTGGATGCTGCAGTGTCGCTGCAATAAATTTGCATACTTACACCCAGTGTTTGATCCGGTCCCGCTCCGGTGTTTGTTCCAATCCGATCCGGTCAACGACCCGACGGTCCCTATCTGGTCCGACCAACAACCCGGCGGTCCGGTCCGGTCATTGACCCGACGGTTCATGTCCGGTTCGGTCGACGGCCGAGCAAACCCGGTCCAGTCCGAACGATGACCCGAAGGTCCTGGTCCGGTCGACGACCCGACGGTCCCGATCCGGTCAACGAATCGGCAGTCCCTGTCCGGTCCGGTCCACGACCCGGTGGTCCCTGTCCGGTCCACGACCCGACGGTCGCTGTCCGTTCCGGTCCACGA